TTCTCATTGTGCTCCTCTAGAGGATTACTGGTATTTGGTGGGGATATGTTATTTTGGTTTTTCATGTTATTATTTTTTCTCTGTGATTTTGACATGTGAATTTCTTTTGTAGTTTCTGACTCTTGTGTGATACTCGGGCCTTCAAGTTTAGTTCTGCTTCTTTTATTTTTGAGCTTTATGTGTCTTTGTGGTTTACTTTTTGGGTATGAAGAGTTGGTTCGTCTAAGCTTCTGGTTCTCTCTTTTGATTTTATATTGTCATGGCCGGATTGATTTTGTTTTCAGGAGTTCTGCGGTGGCCCAATTCCAATGTGGGTCGGAAGTTTTCAGACTTTCTCCTTATGTCTGGAATCTTCTAAGAATGCTTTTTTCCTCAGGAACTTGGGTGGCGCTGTCCTGAGACCCTGGCCGTGGCCGGCCATGCAGGGATGCAAAGGCAGATGGGGAGGGAAGAAGCCCCAAGATTTCCCAGGGAGTGGATTGAGTAGCTGGGTTGTACTGGATGCAAAGGATCAGGGAGAGTAAAGGTAAGCCTCGGAGCCCCAGAAAGAGGCTGTCAGCCTCAGAAAGAGGCTGGCGGGTGTTGGAGGACCAGGGAAGTAGAGGGAGATGAGGGCAGGGCCAGGACCAGAAGTGGTGCTCCTGGAGACCAAGAAAGGGACTGAGTTGGTCTGGGTGAGAAGGATCAGGAAGCAGTATTGGTTTCCCAGGTGTCTGGGGCTCCAAGATTAGGAATGGCGCAGGGCCCAAACTAGGAGTATAGAGCGGCCGGAGGGATGGAAGGGTGAATGTCAACTACCAGTAACTCTTAATTATAGATGAGGAGAGCGCCTCCCCTACCTATGCCAGATTTTTGGATGGTTTGATCTTGTACAGGTAACCATAGCTACCTTGAGTTCATGAATGTCTTGTCCAGAAGACAGTATTTTGTAGCATTCCTCCCCATACTCTGGTTCTTACACTATTTCTGCCTCCTCATCCTGAGACATTCCCTGAGCCCTTGAAGAAGGTAGGAGGGTGGCAGGGGTTGGGGTGTTTAGATAAAGATGTCCCATTTAGGTCTGAGCACTCACTCAGTCTCAGCATTTCAGCCAATTATGTGTCTCTGAATTGATTGCTACCTACTATAAAAAGAAGCTTCTACAAAAGGAAGCTTCTGACCAAGGTTAATAACAGGCCAAATCTATGGGTATAGATATAAATATTTAGAAGACAATTTGACAATATGACTGTTTAGGAAACTAACAATAGCAGGTTCTACCCTAGGGCCTGTGACCTCTCAGCTATGGCTTTTAACCAGGATTACAGTATCAGGCATGAAATTCTCTCTGTTGGACAGGCCTCAGATCTAATCAGAAAGCTGTTAATTAACCCATAATAGTCCTGTCACTATTATACGAGAGGGCACATGTTGCCTGGCAGGTCTGTATTGTAGCATGCAGTGTCCAAAACTGGGTAAGATCGTTGCTGTCTTTTCCCCGCCAGCAGCCAGCATAGCACCTTCTGGCATTACGAAAGCTAGCCAACAGTTGTGGGGGTGTGGTTTTCCTGTTTGGTTTGCCATTGATTATAGTCGTAGTATGTGTATCTTCAACAACAAAGTCTTACCATGTAGTTACGGTGA